ATATGTGTATCATCATGTGTATATATAATATGAATATGCTTGTGCAAACACATATACATATGCATAGGCACAGACACCTATATACTCTTTACACGTTTCTATATGACCGCTGCCTCAGACGCTGCAAAAGCACGTATCGACATGGAGACTGCTTTTGTAACAACAACAGCGCACCATCATGCTGTTAGCGCGCGCGCCGAAAGCCTGGAATCCCCCTGTAATGAGCGCGCAGTGTGCTGAAATCACTGGTTTTCCTCAGGGATGCAGCGTCACGCCTCCAGGACGTCAAAAAGCCAGCTATTATCTTTGCTGGCCGGCAAAAAATCGCGCGCGGCACCGGATGTCCGTGCGGACGCGGCGCGTTTGTCCGAGTCGGATGGCGCTACTTGGCGGAGTCGTACGGCGAGCGCGCAAGAGCAACGTGTGCGCCGAGCAAACGTAGCGAAGGAAGGTCTCCGAGTGAGAGCCCGACGGTCCGAGTCGGAGGCGGAGGCCACGTGTCGGTCGGCGAGGACTGTGTCAGACAACGACGGCCCGCGTCGGCCGCGGAGTCGGCGGTGCCGAACAGCGAGCATGTCAACGAGACGTAGATGCGGAGCCAACTTAGCGAAGTAAGGTCTGCGAGTCAGAACCCGATGGTCCGTGTCGGCCGCGGAGGCTGCGTGTCGGACGGCGAGGACTGTGCCAAACAACGACGGCTATGCGAAAACACTTGAGCGGGTGTGCTTATCGAGTGATACACTTGAGCGGGTGTGCTTATTATGTGCCGGCATGTGTGCAGTGCTACGCGAATACACGTGAACGGGTGTGCTTATCATGTGCCAGCATGTGCGCACTGCTACGCGAACACACTTGAGCGGGTGTGCTTATCATGTGCCAGCATGTGTGCTCTGCTACGCGCATGCGCTTGAGCGCGTGTGCTTATCATGTGCCAGCATGTGCGCAATGCTACGCGCATACACGTGAACGGGTGTGCTTATCACGTGCCAGCATGTGTGCACTGCTACGCGAACACATTTGAGCGGGTGTGCTTATCAGTGCCAGCATGTGCGCAGTGCTACGCGAATGCACTTCAGCGGGTGTGCTTATCATGTGCCAGCATCTGCGCAGCACTGCGCGCATACACTTGAGCGGGTATGCTTATCATGTGCCAGCATGTGTGCAGTGCTATGCGAATGCACTTGAGCGGGTGTGCTTATCATGTGCCAGCATGTGTGCTGTGCTGTGCGAATGGACTTGAGCGGGTGTGCTTGCTATGCGACTGCACTTGAGCGGGTGTGCTTATCATGTGCCAGCATGTGTGCAGTGCTGCGCGAATACATTTGAGCGGGTGTGCTTATCATGTGCCAGCATGTGTGCTCTGCTATGCGAATGCACTCGAGCGTGTGTGCTTATCATGTGGCAGCATGTGTGCAGCGCTATGCGAATGCACTTGAGCGGGTGTGCTTATCATGTGATACACTTGAGCGGGTGTGCTTATCATGTGCCAGCATGTGTGCTGTGCTGTGCGAATGCACTTGAGCGGGTGTGCTTGCTATGCGACTGCACTTGAGCGGGTGTGCTTATCCTGTGCCAGCATGTGCGCAGTGCTACGCGAATACTTCGCGAATGCACTTGAGCGGGTGTGCTTATCATGCGCCAGCATGTATGCAGTGCTAGGCGAGTGCACTTCAGCGGGTGTGCTTGTCATGCGCCAGCATGTGCGCAGTGCCATGCGAATGCACTTGAGCGGGTGTGTTTATCGCGTGCCAGCATGTGTGCTCTGCTATGCGAATGCACTTGAGCGGCTGTGCGTATCATGTGCCAGCATGTGTGCTCTGCAATGCGAATGCATTGAGCGGGTGTGCTTTTCATGTGCCAGCATGTGTGCAGTGCTACGCGAACACACTTGAGCGGGTGTGCTTACCATATGCCAGCATGTGCGCAGTGCTATGCGAATGCACGTGAGCGGGTGTGCCTATTATGTGCCAGCATGCGTGCAGTGCTAGGCGAGTACACTACAGCGGGTGTGCTTATCATGTGCCAGCATGTGCGCAGTGCCATGCGAATGCACTTGAGCGGGTGTGCTTATCACATGTGCCAGCATGTGTGCTCTGCTATGCGAATGCACTTGAGCGGGTGTGCTTATCATGTGCCAGCATGTGTGTAGTGCTAGGCGAACACACTTGATCGTGTGTCCTTATCATGTGCCAGCATGTGTGCAGTGCTATGCGAATGCACTTGAGCGGGTGTGCTTATCATGTGCCAGCATGTGTGCAGTGCTAGGCGAGTGCTTTGCGAACGCACTTGAGCGGGTGTGCTTATCATGTGATACACTTGAGCGTGTGTGCCTATCATGTGCCAGCATGTGTGCAGTGCTATGCGAATGCACTTGAGCGGGTGCGCTTATCATGTGCCAGCATGTGCGCAGTGCTAAGCGAATATATTGAGCGAACCCGCTCAAGTCTTGAGCGGGTGCGCTTATCATGCGCCAGCATGTGTGCATTGCTAGGCGAATACACTGGAGCGGGTGCGCTCATCATGTGCCGGCATGTGTGCAGTGCTACGCGAATACACTTGAGGGGGCGTGCTTATCATGCGCCCGCATAAGTGCAGTGCTAGACGAATACACTGGAGCGGGACTGCTTATCATGTTCCAGCATGTGTGCAGCGCTGGGCGAATACACTGGAGCGGGTGCGCTTATCACGCGCCAGCATGCGCGCAGTGCCAGGCCAGTACACTTGAGCGAGTGTGCTTATCATATTAATATGCCAGCATGTGTGCAGTGCTAGGCCAGTACACTTGAGCAGGCGCGCTTATCATGTGTCAGCATGTGTGCCGTGCTACGCGAGTACACTTGAGCGGGTGCACTTATCATGTGCCAGCATGTGCGCGGTGCTACGCGAACGCACTTGAGCAGGTGCTCTTATCATGTGCCGGCATGTGTGCAGTGCTACGCAAATAGATTGAGCGGGCGCGCTTATCATGTGCCAGCATATGTGCAGTGGAATGCGCTTGAGCGGGTGTGTTTATCACGCGCCAGCATGTGTGCATTGCTAGGCAAATACACTGGAGCGGGGGCGCTTATCATGTGCTAGCACGTGTGCAGTGCTAGGCGAGTACACTGGAGCGAGTGCGCATATCATCTGCCAGCATGTGCGCAGTGCTAGGCGGGTACACTTGGGCGGGTGTGCTTATCATCTGCCAGCATGTGTGTGCAGTACTTGGCGATTGTGCTGGAGCGCGTGTGCTTATCATGTGCCAGCATGTGTGCAGCGCTACACGCATGCACTTGAGCGGGTGTGCTTATCATTTGGCAGCATGTGCGCAGTGCTACGCGAATACACTTCAGCGGGCGTGCTTATCATTTGGCAGCATGTGTGCATTGCTAGGCGAATGCGCTGGAGCGGGTGCGCTTATCATATGCCAGCATGTGTGCAGTGCTAGGCGAGTACACTGGAGCGGGCGCGCTTATCATGTGCCAGCATGTGCGCAGTGCGAGGCCAGTACACTTGAGCGGGCGCGCGTATCATCTGTTAGCCTGTGTGCAGTGCTTGGCGAATATGTCATGTGCCAGCGTGCGTGCAGTGCTACACGCATGCACTTGAGCGGGTGCGCTTGTAATGCGCCAGCATATGTGCAGTGGAATACAACCCGCTCAAGTCTTGAGCGGGTGCGCTTATCATGCGCCAGCATGTGTGCATTGCTAGGCGAATACACTGGAGCGGGTGCGCTTATCATGTGCCGGCATGTGTGCAGTGCTACGCGAATACACTTGAGGGGGCGTGCTTATCATGCGCCCGCATAAGTGCGGTGCTAGACGAATACACTGGAGCGGGACTGCTTATCATGTTCCAGCATGTGTGCAGCGCTGGGCGAATACACTGGAGCGGGTGCGCTTATCACGCGCCAGCATGCGCGCAGTGCTAGGCCAGTACACTTGAGCGAGTGTGCTTATCATATTAATATGCCAGCATGTGTGCAGCGCTAGGCCAGTACACTTGAGCAGGCGCGCTTATACCATGTGTCAGCATGTGTGCAGTGCTACGCGAGTACACTTGAGCGGGTGTGCTTATCATGTGCCAGCATGTGCGCAGTGCTATGCGAATGCACTTGAGCAGGTGCGCTCATCATGTGCCGGCATGTGCGCAGTGCTACGCGAACTGAGCGGGTGCGCTTATCATGTCCCAGCATATGCGCAGTGGAATACGCTTGAGCGGGTGTGCCTATCATGTGCCAGCATGTTTGCAGTGCGTGGCGAATACACTGGAGCGGGTGCGCTTTTCATGTGCCAGCATGTGCGCAGTGCTACACGCATGCATTTGAGCGGGTGTGTTTATCATGTGCCAGCATATGTGCAGTGGAATACACTTGAGCGGGTGCGCATAAGATGTGCCAGCATGTGCGCAGTGCTATGCGAATGCACTTGCGCAGGTGCGCTTATCATGTGCCGGCATGTGTGCAGTGCTACGCGAAGAAATTGAGCGGGCGCGCTCATCACGGCGCCGCCGTGTTGTTGGGTTGTCTTGGCTTGGCAGGTTCTGGGTGATTTTGTTTGAGGCTGTCTGCTTTCTGTTTGCGGGGTTTTTGTTTCGGTCGCAGGCTTTGGACCGCGGCTGTGCATGTAAGCAGGGCATCCCGCACTTCAAGACCAAGCATGCTGGCCTTGAAGGCAGCGCATCCTGCGTTGGACCGCAGGGCATCCTGCACTTAGGCAGGGCATCTTGCACTTCAAGACCAAGAATCCTGTTCTTGAAGGCAAGGCATCCTGCAGTAGAGTGGGCATGAGCAGGGCATCCTGCGTGATGGGCTGAGAGACGAACTGCGAGACAAGCCGCGGCTTGTTGTAGCCGCAAGGCACAAAAAGGACAATCACGCAGGCCTTGTTTTGCGACGCGTGCCGCGCGTGGCCGTCTGGTTCTGATCTCATAATCTCATCATGAACGTTGTAGCGAACTACGCTACAGAGCGCTCATCACACCCCATCTCATACGACTGCCTCACCGGTCAGCCTCACCGGTCAGCTGCTAGATTTGGCCGAAGAAGCGGACGCACGCGTCTCCACCACCCATGCTTGCAAGAGCTGGTTTGCGAGCGCCTTGGTGGGAGCGCTAGTGGTCTTGTGCTTGAGGCCAAGGATCATCTTTCCGAGCCCGTGCTCCTTGGCTTCTTGGACTGTCACAGCATGCTTGATGCAAAGATGCATTCCTGAAAAGTTGCTGTGGAAATCCTTTGCTCCGAGCTTGTCCCTGATTGTCTCCAAGCTTAGCGCGCGGGGATCCTTGTTCTTTCCCGCCGCTAGCTCCTGCTTGGTCGGTGTCGTTTCCATAGCTGCTTGCGCTTCACCCTTGTCGGTCTTTCGTCGCTTGTTGTACTTCTCAGAAGCTTCTGCGCAGATCGTGGCCATGCGCTTCCAGGCAGCGGCTGATGGAATGGCAGCTCGGCTGTATTTTTTCCTGGTCAGCTTGACACAGGCTGAAGGGGGCTGTTTAGGAGCATCTTTCCTGGTAAAGTCAATCAGGTCCTGGAAGTAGTCGTTGTGGTGGCCCAGAAGGAAAGCTGCGAAAGCCATGTGGCTGCATCTCGAAGTCTTCGCAAAGTAGAGACAGCTGCATCGGAGACGGTCGAGGACTTCTTCAGGCCCAGCAACTAGCGTGACTACACACACGTTGGCCAAGATTTCCTTGACTTTGGTGAGGGACAAGCGCCCCGCCTCTTCGTGCCACATGCCGGGCGACTTCTCCAAGTGCTTCTGCACCTGCATGCAAGCATCTTCCGCTGGGAAGGGGGGGCCTACTATCCCGCAAAGACAACTTCTGTGGGGTCACACAAGTGCTTTCTACAGACAGAAGTGCAGCCGAAGGACGTCTGCCACGGAAGAGTCGCAGAGCCGTAGCAGGGACACCATGCAGCAAGCCACATCATCGTCCACCACCATGGAGGCATTTGTGACTGGGAGCACAAATGCTTGACGGACGTCGCCGACCTCACCAATATCAAACTCGAAGCTCTTCGTGTTGCCGGGGCAAGATTGCCACAGCAAGCGTGCGCACGGCAGCCTCATTTGGTGATCGTCAAGGACTTTAACCCTTTCCGTGAAGATGGCTTCGCCGCTGACCAGGCGGCTAGAGATACCGCCCAGCTTGAGCTTGAGCTGCTTCGCGGCGGCGTCATCCGCGCCCAACTTTGCCTGACGAGGCCGCAGGGGCGCACCAAAGTCGACTGGTCGTTGCGGCGCCGCACGCTGCGCACTACCCTACAAATCGCTAAACGATACTTCCAACACGAGCGAAAACACGTGGAACAGTGACAGCGCCCACCAGAGCTCACAGCGGAACCCTTGGCGCAATCCCACGCCTCCGTAGCTTTGAGGATGTGGTTCAAAGCATCTGTAGCAGGCATTTTTGCCACGTTGCCAGGCAAGAGCTTCTTCATGTGATGCCAGGAAGCTTCGAGCGATTGGGAAATGGTGGTGGAAGTCATCCCAGGATTCGCCTCAGCGGGTGGGGTTTGGGTCTAGGGCCTAGTCAGAGGCGGAGCGAGTTGCCGCCGAGAAGCTTCGTGGGACTGGAACTTCACGGAAGTCCCCAGCAGCGAGATGAAGCAGCAGCAGGCCGAAGTCCACATCTCTTTCCCTTCGACAGTCACCTTTTCCACCACGTCTTTCTGCAGATAGGCCGCCAGGTCCAGCTCTCCGAGCTCGACTAACCTCACTAAGAGGCTGTCAATGTAAAGGCTGAACAAAGGCCTGGAGAATCCCAGAGCACTCAGCGCAAACTGCATGTTTGCCGCCACCATTGCCCGCACCTCTTTCTTGGAGCCGGCGCGCCTCATGATGGATGACACCTGGTGTCGGACATCTAAGACGAACACAGTCTTGGGGAACGCCTTTCGCAAGGCGTTTTGCCCACCTGCTTTCGTCAGCGTGAACCTGGTGAAGAAACTGACTCAAGTCATTGTTCTTCGAGGAGTGCCATTCCTTCATGAGGTGCAGCACCGTGAGCATGTGCTCTTGTTCTTCGAGGAGTGCCATTCCTTCATGAGGTGCAGCACCGTGAGCATGTGCTCTTGCCCTTCTTTGGGCACAAAGCCCAAGCCTACTTGCACCAAAGTGGTTCGAGGAATACCTTCGCGGTCGTACTTTTTCGCGCACAAGCAGAACTTCCACAGGCCCCAATCGCTGGAAAAGACCTTGTACGTGCAGTCATGCACGCCGACAAGGTAGTCATGGTCTCCGCCGCGAGCTTGAGCAATCATCGCTGCAGCAGCCTCAGCTGCGCAGCTGCCCCAACTAGCCCGGCAGCCTATCCCACCGCCGAAGTGGAGAAAACAACCAGCTGAATCAAATGGCGTGGCAAAGAAACTGAAACACAAGCAAGGGAGAACATCAGTCGCCTCCAACTTGCTTGTGGGTGCAGATTGCTTGTGGGTGCAAAGACAAGAACGCAGCGAATTTGAAGGCAGGAAGCGTCGGCGAACTTCTGGCAGGTGACGATGCCGCATCCGTCCTCGCGCACCACGGTGCTCCAGACGCTCCCATCCTCGTTGATCTTGCGCAAGTGCTCCAGCCACTGACCCAAGCCAGTGCCTCCACCGAACTCTGCCGACGCGCTCTTTTTCCGCACGGCTCGCCGGCGAGATTGCACCAAGGCTGCTGTGCAGGGCCAAGTCTCCATCTCTGCACCTTGCGCCGCCAGCTGCACCATGGCCTGCATTGGCGTGTTGGCTTCGGTCAATGCGTCTGCCTGCCGACGCACTGCCACTGCAGTGCCTCGAACCAGCCTGGGCTCCGTGGCGTGGTTGCCGTTGACGTGGACGATGTGCTCCTTGGCGCCGTCTTCTGTGAGTTGGAAGATATGACGCCACTTGCGAGGACAGTCTTTATGCGTTTGGCAATACGCATACACTGCCACGTGCTCACCAGCTGAGCGGCCAATCTTCATCTTTGCTTCCATGGACTGCTGTGCGAGCCACGCGAGCACGGCGCGGCGGCACTCGGCGTGGCTGGTCACATCGAAGTCGGGAGACAGCCGGATGACGGCCTGCTGCTCCCACTCCATCTGATGGGGCTCGAAAGGACGACCTCGCTACCTTCCCCGCAGAGCCGGAAACGTATGCTCCACGACACTGCGTTGAAGCGTGGGAGAGCCTGGAGCAACTGAAAGCTTGGACCGGCCTTGAATTGCCGAACGTTCTGAGCAAGCACGGAAACTCAGCCTTGAAACAGCTGTCTCGCAAGCTGGAACACGTCGTGCGCAGGCAGAGTACACGGACTGCAGAAGCTTTTTTTTCCGCGACTCGCAGGCACGCCACGTGTCGCACCATATAGAATAACCGGAAGCATGCAAAACGCAGACATTGTGCTCGTTGGCAGCCGTGCCCATCAGCAGCCAAAGTGAAGCTTGCCTTCCGCAGCTGGGTCTGCTCACGCTGCCGGAAAGCACCAGAGAGGCACACGCAAATTTTCCATCGCCCTCTTGGTCTCCTCTGTCAAAACACGCTTTGCAAGCACTCGTTGCTGACGCCCTGCAGCCCCACCAGCCCGTCTTTGGTGGACATCAGCTATACCAAGCCCACGTGCCAGCTCGCAAACCTCATCGAACTGAGCAGCCGATAGATGACGAGGGCCCATGGCAGCCCGACCCAATCGAGCCGAGTTTCTCAAAGCGCTGAGCGTTACTTCCTGCTCGTCGGGAAGTGCTCTCATGACCTCCGCCAGCAAGCGCTCCGTGGATGTCATCGGCTCTCCGCATACTTTGCACTCCAGAACATCCCCAGAGCAGAAGATTTCCTGTGACTGCTTGGTCTGCAGCCGCATCTCCGTCTCAAAGGCAATGACGTTGAGAAAGAAGGCTGCCTCCGTGAACTTGACAAGCGCTCGCTGAACGCTTCGGACGCCGGCCTTGGTGTCCACAGCGTGCCTCTCGTCCACTAGATCTGACAGATCTTGCCGCAGGGGTCCCAGGGAAGCTGGCTCGTCGCACCACCTGAAGAAGTCGCAGCCATCCTCGGAGCCTGGCAAGGCACACCCTGACCGCACCCGCGGACCGTGCGCGTCAAACACAAAAACAGAGCAACATCCGAGCGACGCAAACGACCCTTGCAACTGTGTGACCAAGGCACTTGCTTCGGAGCAGCACCAGAACTGCCGCCCGACATTAGACTGCGCTCCCTTGCCTTTGCGCTTACAGACCTTCAACACAACCGGCAGATCGCACACGCACTGTGCGGGGACATCAGCTGGATTCCCCCTCGGGTCCATCGTGCGAGGTTGAACCGCAGGCACGGCGCAGAGCGTGAACTGCAGGTAGCGCAAAGATTCCTCTTCCACGTGAGCCACGGCGATGTAGCTGCCAATCCATTGCGAGTGCTTGGAGACATAGTCCCTGACTGACACCCGCTGCTGCGTAGATAGTTTTTGCTCTTCGAAGAAATTGTGAACCTGAGCAAGGAGCTTGTTGGCCTCGTTGGTCAAGGACAACTTGCGCGCCGAGCTGGCGGGCCCAAAGATCCGCAGCGCGCTTTCTACGACTCCGCCAAGAAATTCGCGAATGGGCTGCAAGGCACCGATGTCATCCCAACGGCAAGCTTGCGCGTGGGCCACGGTGAAGCACCACCCCTGTAGAAAGCCCGTGGACCTCAGACGCACAGCCCAAGGCAGCCACAAGCGCTCGACTACATGTCAGGACTTTTTTTTGGCAAAGACACGTCGCTCAAAAAAAAAAGCTCGCAAAATATTCAAGAGCGCCGCTCTCGCAACCGGAGCCTATCCATTTACCACTCGCTTCGTGTTTGCGCCGAACCATTTTACTATGGCAGAAGCCCCTAAAACCGCCAGCTGTTAGGGCAAAAACACCTTCATGACAATCGTCACACGCGACTGCTTGCGTAAGATACCAAACGGGTGGGCGCAAGCTGCGTGCCGTTGCTGCTTAACAATCGATGCCCAAGCTAAGCAGCGGACATGCCCTTCGCGCAAAAGAACTTTCTAATGACGTCCTCCTGCGCCATCATAGAGATTGCAGCCTGCGTCCGGTCAACCCTGTTGGACAAATCAGAGCTCAAGGCCTTGCCGAGGCCATTGCCAGTTCTGAGTGGAAGCAATGTACTTGGGGCTACGTGTTGCCCTGTGTTCGTAGCGCCAGAGCTAGCGTAACTTGCGTCGAAGAAGCTGACTAGCTCCTCTACAACTAAGTAGATATAGCCGGAGTTTTGCTTCAGCTGCTTCACGAAACCCGCAGTGCTTCCTCCGTCGAAAAGAAGTCTTTCACCCGCGCTTGCAGAGTTGTGCGCGAGGAAGGGCATGCGATCCATGACGTCGCAAAACACCCTGTGTATCAACTCCTGCTGCACGGGGGTCTTCTTCGACCCCGGGGCTGCAATGCCGATGCACGGCACCCTCGGGGTGACTGATAAAGTTGCCTTCAATTCCACTTGCATGTCAATATGCAAGCACGCAGCGAGCATTGTCGACCAAACCTGATGCACCAGCTTGTCCGGGAACCCTGTGCAGCGCGAGAGGCAGAGAAGGGCCACCTCAACCGGCAAAGCACTACAGCAAGATGGCAACAGGCGAGAGCCAGCGGCGTCCAAGTCTGCTTTCTCGGAGCCCAGACTGGCAATCTCAGAAAAGCACAGGGCTGCCGGGCGTGGGACAGCATGCGCTGGCCAGTTAGGAATCTTGGCGAAATCCTCCGCCGCAGGCCAGTCTGCTTGTGGCCCCCGTAGCCGTCGCAGGAGCGGCGCGGCGTACTCAGCGACGCATGCGTGCACTCCGTCCAAGTCAGCGCTGGCCAAGGGGTCCGGGGCGGCTTGTGCTGGGTCGACCTGGGTTGGGGAGAAGGGATGCCCTTCGCTGAAGCCAGTGCCACCCGGAGAGCCGCGAAAGCCCCCCACCAGTGGACGCAAGCGCGATGAGGCTTCTGGTTGCTGTGGACTCGGAGTGCGCTGCACTTGCGTTGGAGTCAATGGTGTGCGGCATGGGCTACGCGTCCGATCCCGCTCCTGGGACATCGCGACAAATGACTTCGCTGGCATTCAGCTTGGCAACATGAGCTGGAACAGTTGGCACTACTGCCTATCTCCAATCAAGCCTTTGAGCATGGCGATGTAATGTGCCCTGCGCTAACAAGCCTGGAGCAAGAAGACCGGCGGCGCCCAATCTTGGAGACTGCGGGCTCAGCACGAGCAAATGCCGACCGCTGCGCGCGGAAAACGAACCTATACTCGAGGCATCCCGCGCAGAAAGCGTGGTCACTGCACGCGGAAAATTAGCACTGTTTGAAGCTGTCTGGGATTTTTCTTTCCGTGTCAGGTTTTGGACCGCGCCTGTGCATTTAAGCAGGGCATCCCGCACTCCAAGACCAAGCATGCTGGCCTTGAAGGGAGGTCATCCTGCGTTGGACTGCAGGGCATCCTGCACTTAGGCAGGGCATCTTGCACTTCAAGACCAAGAGTTCTGTTCTTGAAGGCAAGGCATCCTGCGCTGTGGCGCCGCAGGGCATCCTGCATCTCTAAGCGCGGCGTCGCAATGCATACGCGCGCACTAGGAAACTTGGAGACAAGCCAGGGGAGGAACCGCGCGGAGGCGTGCAATGCAAGGCCTGCAAGGCATCCGCGCGCGCCCGCAGTTGCTTCATGCCGTTTGGTTTGCTGCGCGGCGCCGCCGTGCTGTTGGGCTGTTTTGGATCGGCAGGCTCTGCGGGGTTTTGTTTGAGGCCGTCTGCTTTCTGCTTGCGGGATTTTTCTTTCCGTGTCAGGTTTTGGACCGCGCCTGTGCATTTAAGCAAAGCATCCCGCACTCCAAGACCAAGCATGCTGGCCTTGAAGGCAGGGCATCCTGCGTTGAACCGCAGGGCATCCTGCACTTAGGCAGGGCATCATGCACTTCAAGACCAAGAGTTCTGTTCTTGAAGGCAAGGCATCCTGCGCTGTGGCGCCGCAGGGCATCCTGCATCTCTAAGCGCGGCGTCGCAATGCATACGCGCGCACTAGGAAACTTGGAGACAAGCCAGGGGAGGAACCGCGCGGAGGCGCGCAACGCAAGGCCTGCAAGGCATCCGCGCGCGCCCGCAGTTGCTTCATGCCGTTTGGTTTGCTGTGCGGCGCCGCCGTGCTGTTGGGCTGTTTTGGATCGGCAGGCTCTGCGTGGTTTTGTTTGAGGCCGTCTGCTTCTGTTTGCGTTGTTTTTTTCTTTCCGTGTCAGGTTTTGGACCGCGCCTGTGCATTTAAGCAAGGCATCCCGCACTCCAAGACCAAGCATGCTGGCCTTGAAGGCAGGGCATCCTGCGTTGGACCGCAGGGCATCCTGCACTTAGGCAGGGCATCTTGCACTTCAAGACCAAGAATCCTGTTCTTGAAGGCAAGGCATCCTCGCGCAAACTAGGAAAACTTGGAGCCAAGCTGGGGGAGGAACCGCGCGGTGGCGCGCAACGCAAAGCCTGCAAGGCATCCGCGCGCGCCCGCAGTTGCTTCATGCCGTTTGGTTTGCTGTGCGGCGCCGCCGTGCTGTTGGGCTGTTTTGGATCGGCAGGCTCTGCGGTGTTTTGTTTGAGGCCGACCTGCTTTCTGCTTTGCGGATTTTTCTTTCCGTGTCAGGTTTTTGGGAACCCGCCTGTTCATTTAAGCAAAGCATCCCGCAACCCAAGACCAGCATGCTGGCCTTGAAGGCGGGCATCCTGCTGTACAGCAGGGCATTCCTGCACTTAGGCAGGGCATCTTGCACTTCAAGACCAAGAGTTCTGTTCTTGAAGGCAAGGCATCCTGCGCTGTGGCGCCGCAGGGCATCCTGCATCTCTAAGCGCGGCGTCGCAATGCATACGCGCGCACTAGGAAACTTGGAGACAAGCCAGGGGAGGAACCGCGCGGAGGCGAGCAATGCAAGGCCTGCAAGGCATCCGCGCGCGCCCGCAGTTGCTTCATGCCGTTTGGTTTGCTGTGCGGCGCCGCCGTGCTGTTGGGCTGTTTTGGATCGGCAGGCTCTGCGTGGTTTTGTTTGAGGCCGTCTGCTTTCTGCTTGCGGGATTTTTCTTTCCGTGTCAGGTTTCGGACCGCGCCTGTG